GACTCTGAAATTGTTAGTGAAGCACCCCAAGTAAATGTTTTCTTTGTAAGGGTTTCTATGGTCATGATGTTTCTTCACAGCAATAAAAACCCTAACTAAGACAACCACTAAGCTATAACCTTAGCCCAGAACTGTTTCAAGTGTTTTTTATGCAGTTAATATGAGGAGCTGTAAACTGCTATGCTGAGCTATCTTTGTATAGACATTGCAATACAGAAATATGAGTGATAATCATAGTGACAAAAATAAGCACTGGAGTTTGGCTGCCATTGAGTGAATTTTGATTTCACTGTTTCATATGTATAGAATCATTATGTATTTTTTATTGGTCTACATTGACTTCTTGACATTTCAAAGTGAAGAAGATAACAGTAACACCTTCACATAAGGTATGGAATATAAATGATAGGAATAACACCAAGCATAACACATAATAAGGATTCAATTAATACCTATTTGTTGTTAGTAGTAGGTATAATGGTGTTTTATTAGTTACTGTTCTTGCTACTGGGGCAAAATGCATGTCAAAGGGAACGTGAGGAGGAACAGGCTTATTTTGGTTTATGGTTTGTGAGTACAGTTCATCCAAGGAGAGCAGGCATGGAGCAGAACTATGAGACAGGCAGTAACATCACATCTGCAGTCAGAAAATAGAGATCCATGCTGGCACTGTGCTGGTTTTCTCCGTTTTATTCAGTCCAGAAACCCATGGAATGGTTAAAGCCACATTCTGAGTAGGTATAGTGGTTTGAATGAAAAGGTCTCCATAGGCTCAGACGTGTGCATACTTTGTCCCCAGATGGGGGCGCTGTTTGGGAATATTTAGACAGATTTGCCTGACTGTGGGGGTGGTATTTCACTAGAGCCTGACTTTGAAACTGTAAACTGTCCAGGGCACTTCTGTTTCATTCCTTCTCTCTCTGCTCTGTGCTTGCAGTTCAAGATTTGAGCCGTCCATCCTCTGCACCTGCTGCCTTGCCTGGAGCTTGCTGCCATGTTCCTCCATCATCATAGACTCTAACCCTCTGGAACCGTAATCCCAAATACCTAAGTTGCCTTGACCATAGTGTTTTGTCACAGCAACCCAAAAATAGTTGATAGGATAAGCTTTCACCATTCCGATTAATTTTTCATCGAACACTTACGGACTTCCAAAGTTTGTCTCTAGGTAATTATAAAGTTGACAATGAAGAATCGCCAGCAGAGGGCAGGGAAAACAGATCATCAGGTAAAGAACTTGCTGCTCAAGCAGGAGGACCTAACCTGAGTTTGGATCCTCAGAACCCACATAAGTGCGGCAGATATGACAGTCTGACTGTTATTCTATCATGTGGGTGGAAGAGACAGAATATCCAGAGAAAGCTGGGTGATCAGAGTAACTGAAAATATTACTTCTGGGGTCAGAAGGGGACTATGCCTCCACATAGAAGGTAGAGAATGATCAAGGATGAAAAATAAAATCTACTTAAACCTCAACACTAAAGCACATTCGTGTGTATATGCACTAACACATTTGTGCCCGGAAACATGTGACTATGCACACATAAAAATATGCATATGCAGATGAAGAGTAATCAGCACAAAGTTGTATTACTACTGTTACTGGGTGACTAGAGCAATGTGTGTATTTTCTCCTATGTGCTCTGAAAGCAGGCTGTGTTCTCTTTATGGTAGTATCATCACATCCTGGTCTAATTTGTCATCCTACCTTGCTTGCTCAGAACCCCCGAATATTCAACATCAAAGTTCTTCTGATTCTTGTTAGTTAGGTAAATATTATCTAGGTATACAAGATGACCGTTTACATAGACGATTTTTGTTGTTTTTACAAGGATATTTTAAACTCTGATCATCCCGGTGCCTAGGTGAAAGAAATGCCAGTGGCTATTATTCACTCTTTTGCTAATGGCAAACCAATTAATGAGCACAGTTCAACTTTATGTTTTTTATAGGCTCCTCTTACATTTAAGAATGTGGTGTGTGGTTGTGTTATTCCACACACACAGCACGTACACACACACACAGTATGTGTTTTTCTGAGGTGTACTATACTCCTGGAATAGTCAGAAGCATGGCGGCATGCAGGCAAATATGGCGCTATAAGCTCTGAGAGTTCTTCATCTTCACCCATAGGCAGCAGGAAAAGAGACTGAGCTACCAATCCTGGCTTGAGCTTCTGAGATCTCAAAGCCCATCCCAATGACACACTTCCTCCAAGGCCACACCTACTCCAACAAGGCCACACCTCCTTCAACAAGCCACACCTCCTCCAACAAGGCCACACCTACCAATAGTGCCAGGCGCTATGAGCCTAAGGGGCATTTTCATTCAAACTGCTATAACATGGGTATTTCTTTTATCCTCTTTGAAGGAAATACAACAAAAAGTGTGAAAGTTTTAATATTTAAAACACATACCATTGATTTTTATAACTACTATATTGACCCATGAATAAGAGAACCTTTCAATGGTTTTGATGCATTACTTTCTTGAATTTGGTTTTCTCTACTTCACATCACTTCAATTTACAAACAAAAAGGCAAAATGAAGAGAAAGACCAGTCCTCCATAGATGTACTGACCACCGGTAGGCAGTCTTATCTTTTCGATGTTTCAGACCAGAATATATTAGATGGACTATCACTTTTTCAAAATGGTTGAAGTTTTCCCCGTGGTCCCTTCTCTTCAGGAATGCTACACATCTCTGTTTTATAGACTTCTGCTTTAGCATCTTGTTGGTGCTTTTCTTTGGGCAAGAAAATAGGAGCAGAAGTAAGGTCAGTCGCTCCCAAACTGAAGTTACTACTGCTGCTGGAGTGAGAATCTTACGGCTGTAGTGACCTCTGTTATCTCCTTCCTCTTTGAGATTAGGAATGAGGCATCAGCAAGGATCAGTATTGGAGTAAAGAAACGGTGATGGAAAACTGACCATGAATATATATATACTAAATACAAACTTCAGAAAATATCTAGGCAAGAATTGTGAAAACCTAGGTCCGAATTATGTACGCCGATAATGGATAAAACACCTGAAATATTGATAATTATAATGGTTTTGGCGAGTTAAACTAATGGAAGGTATTGACTCCCTGAATAGAAACTGAAGATCTGACAGTGTTTTATGTTTTCACAGTCCTGTGATAAATTTCCTTGTTTAATATTATCTTGTCTCATCCTTGGAAAAATAATAATCCTTATACATAATATGATTTTCATATTGACATTTAATTTATAAGCAACCTTCTGGAGATTTGTGTTGTAAAAGAATTAATCTTTACTGAGCTTTATTTGTCTGCCATATATATGGTCATTTCTTCCATAAACACTTTTAGGTTACTTAACTCCTTTAACTACAGTGCATTTTCTTACATTTCTTTTCATTAATTTTAATTTGCCTTAGTCAGTAGAGAGCAACTTCTTGTGTAGTAACAAATAATAGTCTAATTTCCATGTTGTAAACTCCATATACCTCACCTTTCATGCTGCATCCAATATTCTGCCAGATAAGAAGCCAGTGTTCTCCAGTCCACATCCCAGGCTGGAGCAGTCTTCATAAATTGGAATAAATTTACTCTCCAGTATTCTTCAGGGAGATGAAGATGGTCATTCCCATTCTCAATCCAAGACAATTGAGACGGCAGGATTGGCAAGGAAGTTTCTACACACACACTTAGCAAGATTCGGTCATGTTTATAATTTTACTAGCTACATGTGTGAGTTACAATAACGTTAGGATTAACTTTTTTTTTAGAGACACAGTCAATGGAGCTGTAAATATTACATTTCTTCATGCCTCCTTCACATGATGGACAGGTAGCGAAATTGTTTTGTTTGTAATGCCTCCCCAAGCTATTTTAACTTGTCACAATATACAAAGCTTGGCTACACCAAATGCATCAACTTATTTGTATTACTTCAGTGGAACAAAAGATTTCAGAAAGACACATTAATTTTATTCTTATTCAAGACTGACATTGAAAAGACATTATTATTTGTGCAGTTTGTGCTTCTTATCCCACTCTATTCCTGTTTTTAAATGGCACAGAATCTGTGTACTTGCCATTGTTGCTGACTTTTATTAAATTTTCTCAAAATTACTGAATTCTTGATATTTAAACGGCAAAATTATCAATTCTTGTAGAGAACTCAATTGTTAAAGCAAATTTTTATCATTGTATAGTGTATTAAGATATATTATAGTGTATTAAATAGTGAATATCAGAGAAAGATCATTATGAATGAGGTTTGCATTATGATTTAGATTATTGCAAAGGTCTTACTCTCATATATTCAATACTAGCTTTTCTTCTTACATCTTTTTATCAACAAGATGTACTATAAAATTTCAGAAACAACATACATTTTATTAGAAAAAAATCATGCAAATTTTAAGAACAGGAACAATTAAAAGAATCCATAAGGCAGTCGGAACAGATTCTGCTACCTCATACTGTATGGACGGTATTAAATCAGGATAGAAACAAGTGACTGAATGATAAGAAACTCCTTAACCACTAAGCATCGACAGTGACAGCCTGATGGTCATTTAACGTGTGAAGAATAAGACAACTCTGAGGTATACGGAGTTTATTGTATTGTTCCACAAAATAAAAAAAAAGTCAAAGTCCCTGGTAGAGTGAGGACAGGAGTATAAACATTTCGTCTCTGATCTGCCACACAACTGATACATTTTCAAACCTCGGTGTCAGGGCTAAGCCAGGTGCTATCACTTTGTCTTCCCCTAAGGGTCCCGTTCTGCCCAGCTCCTTTAAGGAGAGGGAGATTCAGTCCTTCCACTCATTCAAAGCACTCCCCAATGAACGCCAGTGGGGAAAAGAAGAAACAAGATGCATTTCAAATACAGGATTCAATTACTTTTCACAACTCAAAGATGTGTCAGAGGCACGCTGGGTTTTGTTTTGAGGGCGGGGAGATGACAGGGAAGGAATCCTGAGCCCCCATTGGCTCGCGGCTAGCCACTGCAGCTGAGTCTCCTCACCACCACCACCACCCCCTCCGCCCGGAGAGCATTATTGATCTGAAGGGTAAATGTGGAGGGAGCCACAGAGAGGGTCCAAGCGTTTCTGAGAAGAGAAGCTGCCTCTTCCAGGAACAAAGTGGTGTCTGCTGGCTGCCTGGCCTGGGAACCTTCTGTGAATTAAAGGGGACAAAAATGCACGTTCGTGGTTTGCTACAGTGATTTAGAAGAGGGAAGAGAGAGAGAGAGGCAGAGGGAGAAGTCGCACCTTGGAGCAAGGCTGCGTTGTTGCATCCCGCGGCTGCTCTTCCCGGGGCTGTTCCTGCAGCTGCGTCTGCTCTCAGCCATCAGGTAAGGCTCCTTCTCTAACTGAGATTGGATTTCGTGTGTGTGATCGCTTCAGGGAACACACACAGAGTCGCGTGCATGATTAATAAAGTGATGCCCGGCTAGTCAAAGCTGGAGAATGTTATTCACCGACCTGACGTCCGAATCGGAAGCTGGAGAGTGGTTTTGCTTTAGGAAACTTCTGCAAGTTCTAAACAAGTCTGTAGTCTCCACAGCGAGAAGCTGCTGCGTTTAACGGGAGGGAGAGGGAACGCGTTCACCACCGCTGCTCCTCAGCTGGGCTAAATTTTCAAATGAAAAGTGGGTAAGCCATGGATGTTCAACTGGTTATTTTGTAAAATGCTTTCAGTGGGGCTTTAAAGCAAAAACAATACTTTCGTTTCAAAGCGCCAACTCCCTTCAGTACTTCACTGACAGAAAAATTTAAACATTCTTACTTAAATTACAAGAGCGAAATTTCAGTAGTGGACCTCTCAGTGTATTAGCATCTCCGTTTGCTACCACAAAACTCACTCGGGACAATTACTACGACAGCTAAGGGTTGTATATTGTGATATAGAAAAAATTTTTCCAAAGGTATTAATTATTTGATCTTAGTAAAAAGATACAAAAATATATATGGGATAGAGAGCATAGAAGCTAATGATTCTTTCAAGGCGATTATTGGCATTTTTATAAATATTATTTTTAGCACCATCTGTTCTTTTCCCATCTTACACTGGGATCATGGTGGCTTCAGAACCTCTGTACTTTGGGGTCTGAGATGCCTTTTACAGATACATTTCTCTGTACTCTGTGACGAGGCATCTGACATACTTTTGGCCCATTCTGTAACCATTTCATGATTTCCAGTTTCTTATCAGGTATTTCAAAGCTCATTTACACACTTCTCAGCAAGAAGATCACTTTACCTACTTTGGGGGGTTTACATGAAGTATATTCAGAATATATGGGCACAGTTTAAATTACTCTAGAGATGACATAACAGTGGAAAATCTAAAGAAGCATGTGTTCATTTGATCTTTAGAGCATAGTTGATCTGATGGGAAATTTATAAAATAGTACTTAGAGACAAGCCGTCCATGAGCCCCGAACATCATGATCATAGCAACATTTATTGCTACATTAGGCTGTGCAATTTAAAATATCATTTTGACCTTTTGATAGTATAGCTTGTAGAAATGGATGGATTTATGCTGTAAATATCCTCTTTCGTTCTCACATAACATGCCTTCAGAATTGAAAGGCAGCTGAGTATTCTTTCCTAACTGTAAGCAGTTGATTGACACATTGTTTTGGAGTGCTCAAGTGCAGAACCATACTTAAAGGGGGAAGCTTCCATTTAACTAACTGGCACAACCCGCTTACTCAGCAACAAGACAAGAGGGTTTTCTCCACCTGCTAAGGAAACTCTTGGATTAAAAAGAGATTCATAATTAACTTGAAATCCCACTTAAGAATATCTTTTTTTTTCCCATTAACAATACTTCCTTCAAAATCTAACTTCAACCATTAACCTGAAACTAAAGTTCTTACTCATAGAAAAGGGGGCGTTTTTATTATCTCTGCTGTGTTTCCCCAATCCCCAGTTGCTATATCCCTAACTTCTACTGCAGTGTGCTGTTTTCAAGCAGTCAGAGGAGTTTCAAGAGAAGTGTTTTTTGACTGGAGCTCACTTCTTCTACTGATCTGTTTAGCAATGTGATCATTTCAGATAATACCCACAAAACCAAAGAGCTCAATTAGAAGGGGTGATTGTCATTTGTTCCGTGTGTGTTAAGTTCTTGTTGTAGCAAAATATTCCTTAGCTTATCGGAAAAAATAAATCCTGACTAATGCTTGATTTGACAGACTTACTCTGGAATTCTAGGGCACCATGCTTATCTGCCTACATTGAGATTTTTTTATATTTGGGACTGTGGCAGGTCGTATTTCATAGAGCAGTATGTGATATAGGCTGAAAACAATCTTATGGATTCAGGTCTGTTAGATTATATGTCACTCTTGCCTCTTAAAATGCATTGTGAAGAACATCTAATCATATTAGCTATTAAATTAAATCTGCAGATATTCTGTTTATACTGTATTTATGTGTAATTTGAAGTATCACTTCTTATACACCTATACCACCTAGATGTCAAGTTATTAAATCTAAGGAAACGTCAGAGAGGTGCAGGGCAATAGTTCCTTTCAGAAGTGGGACACGTTTTCCTGTAAAAAAGGAAAATGCTGAATCTAAAACCATGAGTAACAAAATGACCTATCTGAAGATCTTTTTACAAATATGTTTACACTTCCAAAGGAAAATGTGGCTACACAGCTCTCAGGTAAGGTAAGACAGTATTGTGTCTATGTTTGAAAAAAATCATTGCCTTTAAAATGTGATTATATCACACATTATCAGTACCAGATCAATAGACAGCATTTAGTTGATAATATAGTACCAATGATAATCCTATTTATAGTAAAACGTAAGTAGAAATAGTTCATCCATCCTGCTATAAAATGACTTTTATGAATAAATGAAATTAATATTGAAAAATAAATCATTTCACTATGCATGGGTTGGAATTTTATGGATTTTTACCTGGGACTTTATTTTTATTTACTGATGATAAGTGATAATCAAACATTTTATAGGATGATAACTGTTAAAAAACGTATGAGTTTTGATTTTAAAGCAAATGTGTTTTCCTAAATTGCTATGCAGAAGAGCTGATCTATCACAAGCAAGCTGTTAAGGAGAAATGAGTGTGAATGTGTGCAGTGCAGGTTGTGTGGAGCATCACCGTGATTCCTCAGAGCTAAAGTACCACATGATAATTTGACTAGTAATAGGGAACAAGTAAAATTTTATATTAGACTAAGTGAAAGTTTTATCCAATGAAACATTAAGTAAAAAATAAGCTGTACATGAAATGTGTCTCCTTTTGTCATAGCCTTGGAACATGTTCTACTAGCTCAATTATCCATTTATTTTATTTTATCATGACACTTAATAATTACACCCTAACATATCTAAACCAGAGTATATGCATATGATGCTATACATTTAGTTTTATTCAGGTTTGTAATCACTAATAAACTTATTAGTGTTTACAATGTGAGGAATAAATTAAATCGTTATTTTGCATCAGTTATTTTCTTTGCTAGTGACATCCAATTGTAACCTTTATATTGTAAATATCTGTATGACTACTTTATAAATAAGTTAAGATTACCTTAAATATATGGACACATTACTATACACTGCAAAATCATTCTTAAAATATAGACTTTTCATGCATATATGAATTAGAACTATAATGAGAGGTGAGGGTTAAGACTGTGCACAGATATTCATTAGGAAAAGAGAGGGCTTACACACCAGTGTCTAACTGATGTACTCAAATGGCTAAAAAATGCAGGATTGTTTTTCATTTCAATGTTAAGTAGCCAGTGTTAGAGGAGAGGCTTTGAAATCAGACTCATTATCAAAGTGGGGTGCTAGTTTTAGATATGCCTGATAAAACCTTCAATGTATTATATAATTAATGGGTTTCACAGCTCTGGGTTTTATGATATAAAAAATGTCTCCTATGTATAAAGATGAAAATCTTGATTCCTTTACTGCCTGATAACATCCTGGAGATTGAGTTAAGGCTTAAAACTACATCATAAGAATAAATCTTTGGGAATCTGGGAGCAAATTATTTACTTCTTGATTATAGGATTCTTGTACTAGTCATTGTGGTATACTATTATTCCATTGGCAACACTCATTAATGGACATGTCCTTCTTCATTAAAATTCAACTGCAGAAGCCTAAGCTACAGCTAATAGTAAGGCCCACCACATTAGATGATAAAATGTGTTTGTCATGAGTTATTAAGTACTGGACATAATTATCACAATGGAGATAAAACTGCCCTTAGGCTACGTATATATCTGGGCCATTGAGATGGCTTCATGCCTAAAGACACCTGTCATCAAATCTGGTGTCCTGATTCAATCCCCAGGGCCCATATCATGGAAGAAAAGAATGAACTCTTGAAAGTTGTCCTCTGATGCCAAAAATTCCATGTTTATGAACACACACACACACACACACACACACACACACACACACACACACACACAATGAAAAATGAAAATAAAATATATTCTGAAAAAGAGTCAGTGAATGTAGATAGAGTCAAAGGTGGTTGTAATATTATTTCTTTTAATGGATACTTGGACAAGTGAAGAGCTGAGATATAATCTAAGAGATATCTGGGAATGAAGATCAAAACTTACAACATACAGATATCAAATAAAATGTAGGCATGACTGTAGTTTTTAAAAATCAAATACTGAATTTTATCTGATATTACAGAATTTATTTAATAATAAATCCTTTTGAGCTGGGCAGTGGTGGACAAGCTTTTAATATCAGCACTCAGGAGGCAGAGGCAGGTGGATCTCTGTGAGTTCGAGGCTAGCCTGGGCTACAGAGTGAGTACCAGGAAAGATGCCAAAGCTACATAGAGAAACCCTGTCTCAAAAAACAATAATAATGATGATAAATAATGATAATAATAAATAATGATAGTAATGATAATAATAATAATAAATCCTTTCTTGGTGGAAATAACTAAAATATTTGGTTAGCACAGTTATCCATACAAGACATATGTCCTAAAAAAGTACATAAACTTAGTAAGTGTTGAAAACAAATGGAAAATGCCATTAATATCTAAATGAAAATACAAATTCCTTAATTAGTTCTAAGTTGTAATTATTTATTAGAAGACTTATAGGAGTGACTTAGGTAACAATAGAAATGTAGTCACAGGCCCTGCTAATGGCATTGGAGTCAATCAGAGATTTTGCCTTCAGTGGTGGTTCCATGGATTAGAACAGAGCTCCAAATTTACTGATGCCTAGAAATATATCTGTCATAAGTTTGTAACTGTCATAGGTTATTACTAGTTTGTGGTATTGCTGATATAAACAATACTAATGTATTTATAGTAATATAAAAT